CAGGCAAACACTGAGAAATAATACTTAATATCACAGCGTCAACCCATGGTAAAACAAACAGGCAAACACCACGAGAATTAACACTTAATATCACAGCGTCAACCCATGGTAAAACAATCAGGCAAACACCACGAGAAATAACACTTAATATCACAGCGTCAACCCATGGTAAAACAAACAGGCAAACACCACGAGAATTAACACTTAATATCACAGCGTCAACCCATGGTAAAACAAACAGGCAAACACCACGAGAAATAACACTTAATATCACAGCGTCAACCCATGGTAAAACAAACAGGCAAACACCACGAGAATAACACTTAATATCACAGCGTCAACCCATGGTAAAACAAACAGGCAAACACCACGAGAATTAACACTTAATATCACAGCGTCAACCCATGGTAAAACAATCAGGCAAACACCACGAGAAATAACACTTAATATCACAGCGTCAACCCATGGTAAAACAAACAGGCAAACACCACGAGAATTAACACTTAATATCACAGCGTCAACCCATGGTAAAACAAACAGGCAAACAACACGAGAAATAACACTTAATATCACAGCGTCAACCCATGGTAAAACAAACAGGCAAACACTACGAGAAATAACACTTAATATCACAGCGTCAACCCATGGTAAAACAAACAGGCAAACACTGAGAAATAATACTTAATATCACAGCGTCAACCCATGGTAAAACAAACAGGCAAACACCACGAGAATTAACACTTAATATCACAGCGTCAACCCATGGTAAAACAATCAGGCAAACACCACGAGATATAACACTTAATATCACAGCGTCAACCCATGGTAAAACAAACAGGCAAACACCACGAGAATAACACTTAATATCACAGCGTCAACCCATGGTAAAACAATCAGGCAAACACCACGAGAAATAACACTTAATATCACAGCGTCAACCCATGGTAAAACAATCAGGCAAACACCACGAGATATTAAATTTTTTTATCATGGCGTCAAACTAACACTAGATAATTTTTATATACAGTCGACGTGGGGGAGGGGAGGAGGAGGCGGGGTTACAATCCTAGTCAAGGAGGATTTAAACTGGACCTCGTTATGAGACAAAAGCTAACAAGACTTATTTCCTTCCATATATCGTTTTATAAAATTGCGTTGTTTAAATATCACGATTCAGATATAATTCATACATAACACAATTCTAAAGTGACCTTATCTAAAGTCAGTTGGTAAACATGTCCGATATGTACTTATTTATCAAATTCTTCCGACTGTAGATTGATGCTGAAGTAGATAAAATAAGTAATTTGATAGTTTGACTGTTTTATACAAAGTATATATCGCCTGGTGATTAAACACATATATTCTAGGCAGCGAAGACATTTCAGATAAAATATCGAGGGAAAAGCGTCATCTCACTTCCTTTTCACTTCCTGGTGGAGGGGTTATTCTCTCGATTCTATACACCACATACTGTATAATGTTACAACACGAGATACATAGATATATAAAACACACACAACAAAGCAGGTCAGATAGTATCACAATATACCAGTAAGTTATGCGTTTTCAAAGGCACATTTATATATGGTTACTTAGAAAGTAATTAATCGCCTGTTTTTTCTCTTTGTTCTTATTTGTTTATTTCATTTCATAAACCACAGAATGTGCTGCAGTGTAGTGCCTACACCTTGTTGTAGGGCTTGTTACTGACATTTCGATTTTGTTTAGCATAATATTTATTCATTAAAACGTCGTTATATCTAACACGATGTTATATACTGTATATACTTAATGCCTCGATATAGACACAACTATGTAGGTTGCGACAGTCAGTTAGTATTAGTACCTTAAATCAGAATATTGGTATGACAATACACTGTCGGCCTTGTCAAAGTATGGTAAAAAATCACGTTTATCAAACCTCTCAATTAATATATATAGTTTCAATGAACGTGAAGTTAACACGGGTTTACTGGCCACGTTGCACCCGGCTGGTTGGAACATATTGTTCTGTTTTAATTTTAGTGTTGACTTACTGCACAATAGTGCATAGCTGATGTCATTGACAAAAAATTAGGTCAGGCGTTTTATGTTAATAGTGAAAAACATAAAGAGAATGAAACGGGAGACTATCAATCGATTTCTAAACGGGTAATACATAAACATATACACGTGTGTCAACACGTGAGGCTCTAACACGTGGGTATGATCAGTCTTGTGTTAAAAATGAAACGAGTCTATAAATATTACTTTAGCAACTCCTAGGTAATAGTAAATACTGACATATCATTAGTGTCAGCTCTTGTCAATTTGGCTATATATATATTAGCTGTTTTTTCGGGACCTTAAACAAAGACAAGGTTTCGGCGACATTAATACAACTTTTTATGTCCATCAGTAATAGATTCGTCGAAGTATGCGCTATTAAATAAGATTGGAAATAATAAAGTTTTATTTGACTATTTGTTTGTTTGTCGTCTGTTTGTTTGGTTTACCGACCGATGAACATTCAAGGTCAGTTTGAGGCAGGGGCTCCTTGTAGCCGCTGGTGGCTACCACACTGAACAACACACGGGAGGCAATAAGGTAAAATGTCTTTCTACAGCTACACCAGCGAAGTACGTAAACGGGGAATTCTCTAAATATACATCAAAACCATCATTTTAACCCACGTACACACTCAAGGGAAAGGAACGTCGAACTTCGCACCTCAGGTCTTCACCGGAGTTCACGTAGCCCAGTGCTTTCGGCGTTGCAGTTGAAAGAATGTTTTTCTAAGAATATCAACATACTCTAAAAAAATGGGATTATCATTTAAAACTCAATTGAAATGAGATCATCTCGCTATCAGTTTCATCTGATGAATAACATTGTGCAGTGCTGATGTAATAGACATAAATTTATTTACACTGGGGAAAAAATTTAAATTCTGTTTTGTTGTTTACAAGCATGGGTACATACACGTGAATTTTATCATGTAAACATGTGAATGCTCTTACACGTGGGTATGATCAGTCTTGTGTGAATAATGAAACGAGTCTATAAATATTACTTTAGCAACTCCTATGTAATAGTAAATACTGACATATCATTAGCGTCAGCTCTTGTCAATTTGGCTATATATATAAGCTGTTTTTTCGGGACCTTAAACAAAGACAAGGTTTCGGCGACATTAATATAACTTTTTATGTCCATCAGTAATAGATTCGTCGAAGTATGCGCTATTAAATAAGATTGGAAATAATAAAGTTTTATTTGACTATTTGTTTGTTTGTCGTCTGTTTGTTTGGTTTACCGACTGGTGAACATTCAAGGTCAGTTTGAGGCAGGGGCTCCTTGTAGCCGCTGGTGGCTACCACACTGAACAACACACGGGAGGCAATAAGGTAAAATGTCTTTTTACAGCTACACCAGCGAAGTACGTAAACGGGGAATTCTCTTAATATACATCAAAACCATCATTTTAACCCACGTACACACTCAAGGGAAGGGAACGTCGAACTTCGCACCTCAGGTCTTCACCGGAGTTCACGTAGCCCAGTGCTTTCGGCGTTGCAGCTGAAAGAATGTTTTTCTAAGAATATCAACATACTCTAAAAAAATGGGATTATCATTTAAAACTCAATTGAAATGAGATCGTCTCGCTATCAGTTTTATCTGATGAATAACATTGTGCAGTGCTGATGTAATAGACATAAATATGTTTACACTGGGAAAAAGCAATTTAAATTGTTTTGTTGTTTACAAGCATGGGTAAATACACGTGTATTTTATCGTCTAGACATGTGAATGTTGATCACCCAGTCTTGAACGAGAACAGGCGGAAGGATTTAAAATATTACCTTAAATTATAAGATCTCAGCGAACTGCTTACATAACTATACAAATACAAGACATAAAAGTGAATATCACCTTTCAATACAACTTAAAATGGACGAAGTTCACCGAAATAATAAATTAAACTGCAGCATTGTTATTCTCCTGCTAGGACGACGACAAAGAAATATTCAACATTGATTGCAATGTGTCAGAACCCTGATTAGGATGGTGCAATAACCCCAAAATACATTACTTTCATCTTTCAGGTGTATGATTTCTGAGCTGTGCCAACATTCACTTAACAGTTGAACAAGCTATTGACAAACTGATCACTTTTCTTTAGATGGATATAAAAGCAAAGAAAAAAATGTATTTCTTCCAACAGAATATTGGCCTGATCTTGAAAATAGACTAGATTGCATCATCTAAAACATGTCTTCAAATTACTCTTCAGCCTAAAAGATCTGTGATATCCTTGTGGTATCTTTGTAAATAGTCAGGTTTCTTTTGCTTTTCTGTATCAAAATTTTAGAACTATTTAAATGTCTATCAGATTAACAAAGATATCTTGTTTTCCAATGTATTTCTGCTGTTTGTACATGCTTCACACCAGTAGGTTTAATGATACAGGTCGGATTATTTATGGAGTGTCAGTTTTACTTGGAATGCCACCGATTGAACTCCGACAATAATTTTCACTGGCCACTGGTCAACTCACCAACCTGTAACAACTGGGGCAAGCTAGGTTGGATGTCAAACTTAACATTAATGAGAAGACATCGACATTACACAGAAACTTGGGGACGTGTTTCTTCTTCAGATAAAAAGCAATAAGAAACAAATGGAGTTACAAAGCAGCCTTTTTGTTTAGAAAAATCATGTCAAAATATTTGTATGGTACATTGTAATAACTAGGTAATATTTGGCTTAATGAGTACCTGGAATAAGGCCCTCACTGTTTCAATATCTATCTAGGACAATCATCTCTTAATATACTTCTCCAATCTTTTCCACAACAGCCTTTCTGAGTGATGGACAGGATATATAACAACATAGTTCATTGTTCAGCACCACTGATTTCTACTGGTTTTCTCCATTCTTTATGTCCCAAAAAAATTATGTGTAGGTAGTAAGTCATTATCGTCAAATTAACACTTACAAAAAACATCAACTCTTCATTAAAGTTGTTTTAAAAGTTTTATTTTTTACTTCAAACAATTGATAAATTGTACATTTGCTAAAACATTACCTGGGATATATTGCTGGAGAATTCATAAAAAAATATCATTTAAAATTGTCTGGATCCAAGTATATAAACCAAACCTGCCAAGTATTTGTAGACAACATATTTTTCCATTTACAACTGGTAAATTAGGCTAATTATCATTAAAAAGGTCCCCACTTCAATGTTTAACATGTATTTCCCTGATAGTATATCCCTTCATATTTTAATTCAAATATACAATCAATCATTTTCCTTTATAAATCAGTTCGAGTCAATAACGGAGCCTTATGAAGTAACACTGAATGACCATGAATATGTATGTCATTTTAAAATCAATGGATATACATAATAATGATACCTTAAAAATGTTGAATACAAATGGATAGTTTCTCATATTGAATTTAAATTGGAAAAAAAAGATTCTACAAAACGACCCTTTATACCTGCCAGTGTATTCCAAATTATGAAACCACGCAAAACAATCAGGAATCAATATCCTTTAAACACCAAGGTGTACATCCGCATGGAATCATGTACTGTCCACTAACATTTCTATTGTTCTTACACTGGCCTGTCGTAAAGGTAACCTCAGACCTCGACATAACTATTGCACGTGTCCGCAGATCATATTTTGCCACGATATCTTTGTAACTAAGATATACAAACAATGCTATGACCCAAAGGTCCAGATGATAGAGGTGCATTTTCTTTTAATCTTGTATTCTGTCACCAGGAAAAAAAAACAGGCTAGTTTGTTTCTAACCACAACTTGTGTCACCAACAATATTTGACAAATTAATATACCTTGTTAAGGATGTACTCCTTTGACCGCGAGAAATAATTCAATAATAATTCCAACAGATGTTGGACTTCTGTGTTCTTACACTTTGTTATGTAAAATTGTACTTACAAACTTAAAATGGTGATCTTTAGGACATTTAAAAGAAATTTTGCTTGTGGACTACTTTTTTTTGGACAATGTGATTTGGTTAATAGTGTCAACAGATTAATCATTTCCTGGTAATCTCGAAAATTTCTCTTTTCAAATAAAGTCTTAAAAAATTGATTCAGAAGATGGTCAAATAAAGAATTTCAGTGATTTTGGAACAAAATTTAGTATTGGATTTTACTTCTCAATGGAGTACATCCTTAAGGTACCTCCTTAGACTTTGTAAACAGAAACATGCCATGAAAGATGGCCTTGTTGCTGATCAGCATTAGAGCTGCTATTCTTTAGCATATTTTTTCAATGAAATATTACAGTGCAACATTCAACTGTATGTTCAAAATAACCTACTCTTTTCAAAACTTAGCTAAATGCCATTTTTAAACTTATTGTAAAACAAATATTCACCCCCCTACCCTAAAACATGAATTTCTTCATTAAGACTTCCAAAACTCTCAGATTCTTCTTTCAAATCTGAATCCATCTTCAAATAATTTACACACTCCAATCAAGGAGACCACAAGTTCAAAGGCAAGCAACCTCAACATCAATATATAATTATAAATATCTTTGATCAGACAATCCAATAAAACAAAATTATAGATATGCATATAAATTGTGCATGTATTGAACTAATCAGTGTCTATATTAATATACAAGTCCTTTTTTAAATGGTACACTTGGAAATGTTTTACTGAAAAGATATGAATGTATATAAGTGTGGGACAGCAAGTAAATATGGTATGGTATCTTAGGGGCATTATTAAATGTCATATCTTAACATTTATCGGCGGTAATCTGTAAACCTTCAGTTCAACTACAATTCACAGCTGACAAATGTGGGTATGTTTTAGTCTAAACACATTATTTTCTTTGTTATTCATTATATGAAAAATGTGGAGAGATTAAAAAAGAAGAAAAAAATGAGTAAGTGACATCTCATCAATTAGTGCTATTTTCTATATGTGTGAAGCTAGCTAGTCTTTGAACAAATGGACTCCTTGAGTTTGTATCATTCTCCAACCACACCTCCCACAAACTCCATTCTGCCACCACACCACCAGTCATTCCCAAGATCATTCTTTCATTCTCATGGTGCCTTTATCCTCGTCACCTTGTGGCAACCATGGTAGCTAAAGCTCCGAGACCCATGGCAGTGTACACCAGTCCCTTCCAAAGTTTGTCTTCCATTGCACCCTGCTCAGGAAAATAATCTGCGAAAGCATCCTGAAAATACATAAATTCAAATGTTTATTTCAAACATTCTTGGAAAATGCATCTTGAACAAAAAAAAACACCCTTAAATCATAAGGGAAATTTGTACGAGTGTTTCATCTTGTTAGACAAGTGTTGTTAGGCCGATGACTCAGTGCACGTATTGTAGGAGTGTTGAACTGTAAGGTTTATACACACAGTGTCTACTGCTATGATCAACCCACCCATCACAGTGTTTAGTGTTGGACATTTGCCAGGGGGTTTAAATAGTAGACATTCTGTATAACCACAAACATTTGGTATATGAATGGTTATTGTTCCACATTTCTATTGGTGAATTTGATTAAACTCAAGATCAATATCAAAATTGGCATGGCACCAATGTCTTCCATGTATAAAAATAGCCATGCTCCTTACTAACGAGAAAAAACATTTCCAAGTATTTACCACAAATATTTGGATAAAATCCAAAAATACAGAAAATGATCCCCTGGAGTTTGGTTATTTCAATTGGGCACTTAGATATATCAATTTATCCAAATCTTTGTTTCTAATTTTTTTATTTGACTATTGATTTGAATTGTTAGACAATTCAAGAGCGGTGAATGGAAATCCTGCTCAGCCATACTTATATACAAGATAAAAAGATAAAAATCCTCCGTTATTTGCCTGCTTTTGTTTAAACTTTTAACCGATTCTCAAGGACCAAGTACTCTATATCACAAATAGATGTGGATTTTCAATTTCCTTAATCACATTTTATTAATCGTTCATTTTAAAAGTGTTTCTGTACTGTAAACAAACGAATATATATTCGCATAATTTATTCTTACCCATCCTCCATTATCAAGAATCCATCTCCCCAGTTTGCTTGCAACATATTTCCCAGCATACAAAGCTATTCTTTCATCACAATCCGGAGTGTGAACACGACAATGTAAAGCTAACCGAGATGCGAATGTGTAAACAGCAACAATTCTACCCCAATTAATTTGTCCATCCTCAAATATTTCGTCCACCACAGAAACAAACGTTGGAAAAGCATTCGAATCGTCAACATTTAGTTTATTTACCATTCCTTTGAATGCAATGTCATGTCGGTCTGATAATTCCCTAACAGTTCTGCGCATTGTTTTGCAATATCTATCCATTGGTTTCTTACATTCTTCAAGTCCAAAACTGCTGATAACATCAGCGGCAATAACTTCAGATTCTAGTCTGATTTTTTCCAACGGAGTAGCACTGCCAGGCGTTTGTGTTTGTTGATCTAACTTACTCATATCCTGTCCTAGTCCCTGAAAGCCAGGCATGAGCCCCAGCTGTTTATGAATTTCAGCAAACAAATTTCCTTTAACAGGGTAGTTCGACCCCATTTGAATTCCTTCCGTAGCCATCCTTCTTAAATTATGATCTGAATCGTCCTGAAAAGTTGTCGAACAAAACACGTTCACCGCTCTACAAGCGGTTAGAGAGAGCCTCCCTCAGATACGTCTGTAGTCTAGTCCTACAAGATGGCTACCAAGAGCAGGCTTCGTCTCGATAAAAGCTCATGTGATCGCGTCAGTTTGGTTTGAGCCATTCACAACGCGTGCTGCTCCTTACATATATGGACATCGGAAATACTTCTTTTCTATTTTAAGCCCAGCAACGTCACAGCCCTCAAACTCGATTGGCTAGATATGCGGGATACCCTTTGACCAGGAAAATCCCAAGTGTGAAAAGAGCCGTGAACCAGACAACACAAATTTAACAACGAGGGAAGTGAGGAAGTTATGTGAAGGAAATCCAACTGTTTCAAAGTGAATTCCCAAAAGGAAGTGGTAAGTGTACTTGAGATATCAGAGAGTAAACGAAACAGTAATATTTATATAAAACAAATACTGTAATAAGACGTTACTGTTAGTCCAGCTATTTTATAGCAATAAAACATGGCTGCTGTTTTACAGGATATGGCCCTTCAGGCTCAAAACACACGCATGCCAACGATTTTACCTGACCTATTTACATTTGATATGATATGTTTTCGGTCATGATTGATATTTTTCTGCATGTGAAAACATTTTAAAAAATAAATAACCTAAACTACATTACTGTCTGCTGCACTGTATGTCTACATTTGATCTATACCACTTTGTAGGTAACCGACGATGAGTGATCTAGATCCCATTATTTGTTTTTACTTAACCGTAGGTCTACTACATCGTACTGAATTTCTAGCTGGACTTTGTAATGTTGTGAGTTATGTAAAAATCAATAATGAGAGATCTTCACAATTTCTCTCATTTGCTATATGATCAGGTCAAGTGTAGGTGTATGGGCACTTTATGTACCATAGACTATGGCATAGTAAAAATCATGTTTGTTGAAATTTTCCTCCTTTCTTTTGTCCTTTAAGAGATAAATCAAGTACATACATGTTACTTTGTACTTCAACTAAATTGGAAACAACTGGGTTATTTCCAGAAGTTCACCATGGGTCTCCCATTGGCTGATGAGGACCAGGACAGACAGGGCCATAGTGAAGAAAATGGTCAAGCTCGCCCATTATCAGGGATCGAGTTCAATCAAATTATTTCTGACCGACTACAGAGGACCCATAATGACGGTCGACGAAACTCTCTACCTCCAGGTATCCTGGAACATATTGATGTCAAAAGTGTATGTGGCCAAATACTACGTTTCATGGGTGACGAACACTTTTCTAAAACTTGTGGCCGACACCTAAGGTGTATGGGGGATGAAATTTCTCATCTGTACTGGCTGAAGAAAACTGTGATGGGTTCGCAACAAAATGTATCAGACCAATTGCATGAACACACAATTTCACACAACTCGCATTCATTGCCTGATTTACGAACCATGAAGGTAGAACAAGAAGAAAATTCGAGGAATGGTAATTAAATTTAATATAGCATATGTGATACATTGGTATATGATAAGAGAAGCTAATGCTTCAAGGAATATTTATTTCAAATTATTTAATAGAAATGTTTATAGAGAATATTGTACAGCAAATCATCAGATGATTTCACAGTTTTATATACAGTAAAGTTATAAAAGCTAATGCACAACAGTGATAATTATTCTATTCCAAGTTCTAAGAACTTGAAATAAAATAATCAAATTTATAATGCTTGAATGTTGGCAGAAGGATGTAATGTGTGTGTATTAATAGTTGTCAATACAGTATAGTCTGTGTGTGGTTTTACTGTGTATTACTGGTACAGGTCACAATTAATTTTCTTGCGGGTAACTCCTTATACATATGATAAAGTATATTGTGTAGCCAACCTAAATGAAAATAATTTGTGACCTAGAGATCATTTAATTTTCATGGCTGTCATTAACGCATGTCTCTGTTTATATCTGATTAAATGTATATGTATGAAACATCGTACTTATAGATTACCAGTATCAGTACCACATGATCAGGGATAAACATATGATTACTTACCTGTTACTTACTAGGTGTAAAACTAACATTCCACCCTGTCTTGGATTTTCCTGTTGTTTTTGTCCTTGTTAACTTACTGGTCAGTTATTTTTATCATAACTAGGTTGTTTTGTTTTTCTTTTATTTGAAGTCTGCAATATGAAATATCTATTTCTATTAATGTTAAAGAATACAGCATATTTTTGAATGGTTGTTGATTGTAAATTATAAATTTTTGGATTAGGTTGTTATTATTTTTAATCAAATAGGGCATGAGATTTAAACTCTGTACAGCTTTGGTGTTTTAGACATCTATTTATCTATTTATTAAGTTGCTGATGATATTTAGAATATAATCAAGTATTGATTTCCCCTATAACTGATTATTTATCTTAATACTCACATTTTATATACCCTAAGTTTAGACTTCCGCTCATGATGTAAACTGTCCCAACATAATGACGGGAATTGATTTACGATCAGAGAGGTTTTTTTTTAGATGTACACCTGTTCATTTGAATACCAGAGATGATACAAACATTTATCCTGGAGAAGCCCAGGGTGCTATCATAACTCAGTCATGGGGTGGGCTTATTACTGGACAATAAGATAACATTTGATTGTAATTTAATGTTTGGAATATTTCTTACATGAATTCATTACTGGATAAATGGAGGGGGAAAAAACCATCATCATTTTTGTCAAGTGATGAAGAAGTGTGTTATTAAGATTAAATTGATTTTAAAATGTTGGCTGAAGAACGGTCTAGATAAGGAATATTTATCAGAGAAGGACTGTTTATGCAGATCCTTAATCTAGTGCCATGTTATAGTGTTTGGTGGTACAGAATAATTGTGTTACATAGAGGTGTTAGACTCTTGTTTAGCAGTTATGATACTGAACCACTGTAATAGGTTTAGGATTTTCATGTTGAACCACTGTTATAGGGTTAGAACCTTGTTTAACAGTATGGTACTGAACCACTGTAATAGGGTTAGGACCTTGTTTAACAGTATGATACTGAACCACTGTAATAGGGTTAGAACCTTGTTTAACAGTATGGTACTGAACCACTGTAATAGGGTTAGAACCTTGTTTAACAGTATGGTACTGAACCACTGTAATAGGGTTAGGACCTTGTTTAACAGTATGATACTGAACCACTGTAATAGGATTAGAACCTTGTTTAGCAGTATGATACTGAACCACTGTAATAGGTTTAGGACCTTGTTTAGTAGTGTATGATACTGAACATATGTAATGCTGTAATTACAGATGCTGGTTTTGTTTAATCAATAAAAGCATCTATCATGTTTTGCTGTTTATTGAATTTTGTTATTTTAAACTCTCAGATTGTTGGGGTGTAACATGCTCTTCATCTGTAGCCAATTATCACCAGATGCAAGGCTTTATAAAGTCGTTCTGCATCTGTGGTCTGTCCTCTGTTTGTCCATCTGTCTGTCCGTAAACAATTTTTGTTATCGCTATTTCTTGAGAAGTACTGGATGGATCTTTCTCAAATTACATATGTAGGATCCCCTTGGTCCCTTGTTGTGCCCTTTTTCTTGAAAAGTGAGGGATGGATCTTTATAAAATTTCCTATGTAGTTTCCCCGTGGTCTTAGTTGTGCCCATGAAATTTTAGGGCTGATCAGAAAAAAAAAATGGCCCACAGGCCACATCTTAGATTTTGACTTTGAATGTTTGTTATCGCTATTTCTTGAGAACTACAGCCTACATATTTCTCAAATTTCATGTGTATGCTTTCCTTGGTCCCTAGTTGGGTCTGTTTGAGTTTGGTACTGATCAGTAAAAACAAAATGGCCACCAGGAGGCCATCTTGGATTTTGACGTTGAAAGTTTGTCATCTGGATTACTCGAGAACAACTCTATAGATCTTTCTCAAATTTTTTGTAGATGTTCCTTTAGGTCCTTTGTTGTGTCTGTTTGACTTTGGGACTGATCAGTAAAAACAAAATGGCCACCAGGAGGCCATCTTGGATTTTGACGTTGAAAGTTTGTCATCTCGATTACTCGAGAACAACTCTATAGATCTTTCTCAAATTTTTTGTAGATGTTCCTGTAGGTCCTTTGTTGTGTCTGTTTGAGTTTGGGACTGATCAGAAAAACAAAATGGCCAATAGACATCCATCTTGGATTTTGCCTAGTAAAGATTGTTATTGCTATTTCTTCATAAGTACTAAATGGATATTCTCTCAAATTTCATATGTATGTTCCCTTTGGTCTCTTCTTGTTCTCGCTTGATGTTGGGACTGATCAGTAGAAACAAAATGACTTCCAGGTGGCCAATTTGGATTTGGAAGGTAAAGATTATCATTGCTATTTCTTTAAAGGAAAGTTCAAATGTCGTATCATTTAGAGCAAAAACAGAGAAGAGAAAAGAAGGTAAAAAGATCCAACTTTCAATGAGCATATAAAGATCAAACAATTGTGGACACCAAGATCCCTGTGAGATCTCTTGTCTAGTGGTATTTTTAATGTGTCGTAGATAAATTTGAAAGTTAAATGATGTGGAGACATTTTGAACAACTGATTATCCGAGATATAAATAGTAAACCGAAACCAATTAACGACTGAAAAGTCGTACAAATCTAACTTCTACCTGTTACTGTCATTAATAGTAAAACAAATAGTGTGAAATACAAAACTCATTGGGCCGTGTGGTCGTGGTGGCGAAAACCAACCATTTATTTGTTAAGTTGTATGTAGACTGCGACAAAGACAATAGGTAGTATAGTACCTGGTACAGTCCGTTCAAGGACGTATGATATAGATACGTCTCTGAACCAAATGGACTTGACTATAATAAGATACATAAATTGTTCATTTTCTAACAATTGTAGAACTAGCTACATTAAAGATTATACTGATCATACGAGGTGGTGTTACTTTGCAACAAGCGGAGTTGATACAGAAAAGGAACATCTGCTGTCTTCTGTCACACATCTACGTCACGATTATAACAAAGACAACACCACTGGTCAATTAATGATGTCACAAGGTCACAGATTGATCAATGAATGTGTTTGTAGCCAAGGTGTCCCTCTGATAGTGTTGGCAGCTGGCGGTCCATTTTTCGGGGATTCCCCCTTATTGACATGTACACAATGAGGAAACGATGTACGTTATTTCAATTAAAACACTAAAATGACGAACTCTGACATTGTAAATGGTGTGATTGTCGCAATGGGGGATTTCTAAGTCGTGTCAACTTGACACAATTAACTCATTACTTAGTGGAAATGACTTCTATCGAGAAGTATAACTCGCTATTACAACAACCACACAAGGTGTTGTGATCAGAAAAGATACTTCATTTGAAAAAATAAGTAAAGAAAAATATAGAAAATAAAAAAGTAAATCCGAGATGAGTTTAAACTGAGACACAATATCGTGTACACACGTGATAATAAAAAAAAAAAAACAAGAAAAACTACTGATGGAAACTACATTTCATTCACTCAGTTCCTTTTCCAATCTACTTCCTGGTTAAAATGGAATGAATGCCGTTTCAGAGTCGGGTCTTTTATTTTTGGAAAGTTATGTTAAACTTGATGGACAAATATTATTCTGTTTTGTTTATTTATCGTCGCAAACAAAATGTCTTTGTTTCATCCTGTGTTGATATTACAGCTGGTTTCCTACTATTGTACAATAAACAATGTATACGACACATCAACAGCTAACATTGGGTCAGTATCCTGTAAGATAAGAAACAAACACGTACACAAATGTCCGGAGGTATTGTGTACACGTAACAGCGGGGAAAGCTGGCTGGTATTTGACCTAACTAGAACAGTGACCTAAGGGGATAATCCTATTAGGTGTCCGATTGAAATTCCTCACGAGACTTACTGAACGTTACAGTTGGATTAATGGACGTATTAGTGTCAAAAGACTAAAACAATGAACCATGTACTCTGTTAGATCGTGTTATGTCTCTCCCTGTTAAGGGTGATGAACGATTTATATATAAAATGCACTATTAAGTAATTTCTAAATGAAATACAAAGAAAGCATTCAAGGAGGTTAACAAGTTAATCAAAAATTAATTAATTAAAAAGTAATTAAGATGTGATAACTACTCAATTGTTGCTGATTTAAGCCGCTTCTAATTGTCGCGTTGACTTTGTCGCGTTGTCGCCCCGCCAACGCGAGAAAGCGAAATGGCCGAAATCAGTTTCCATACTATTCTCTGTAGATATTTCATTTCACTACAGTCAATGTTAGTTTGTCTGTCGGTTCGAACAATTAGTTTTTTATTTGTTGACAGAAGTTGACAAAATGTCTATCTGATTCACTTCAAATACGAGAAATTGTTGCTAACAATTTTGCGGGCTTTTCACTTCTTTGGCGACAATCTGGGATATTGGACAGACTCCCCGAAAAACAGCACTAGTTTAAGTTAATCTCAGCTTCATTTACGGCAAACCTAAACAGAATTACACAAACTGACCCGAGCAGTTCAAAAACATCCATTTTCAAAATGGCGGTCATGGCAGCCATCTTGGTTTTCGGACCAACTTAGAAAATAACAACTCTTAGTCAGGACAAAAATGGTAGTCCTTCATCCCAGAATGCTACAAGCCTAATATCAGTTCCCCCTTGCTCTTTGCTTGATCAAAGATGTTTGAAGATTTCATATACATTTGACACCTGTGACCTTGAATGTAGTCAAGGTTATTCATAATTGCAAGCCTTATAAAACAACACCTGTAGATCAGTATATACTAAATACTAGTGCTCTAGACCATGTGGAACTTTAGAAGAAGATTGTTTAACACTGATACCCTATATTGTACATTTCAACAATGATTTCAACATTGATCCCATACGGAAACCGGAAGTTGACATTTATCCTGATAACAATATATAAGAAAGTTTCATTGTTTGTTAGTCTCTACAACATATCCAAAGATGAACTTTGTATCTTGAAACGTTAAGGTGATATAACTACATAATGACGAAGAAATACACTTTTTAAAGGTTCAGACATATTTGACCCCCGTGACCTTGAATGTCAGTCAAGGTTATTCATATTTGAAAGCCTTATAATATAACATCTGATGCTCAATATATCCCCAATATTAGTTCTCTGGACCTTGTAGAACCTGACAAGAAGATTGCTGAACACTGGTACCCTATTTTGTATATTTAAATTTGACCCCTTTCGGAAACCGGAAGTTGACATTTTTCCTGATAACAATATATGAGAAAGTTTCTTCGTTTGTTAATATCTATAACATATCAAAAGACGAACTTTCTATTTTAAAACGTTAAGGAAGTATAACTACATCAAAATAAATTAAACAATTTTCAAGGTTCAAACTTTATTTTCCACTACTCAAGTATGATATTAACCAAATATCATGACCTTAGGCCTTTTGGTTTTTGAGAAGAAGATTTTAAAATTTTATGTCACAAAATTGAACCCTTGAACTTTGACCCCTAGCGAAAACCGGAAGTTGACGTATGACGGTGTATTTTTTCTCCAATTTGGTAGTACTTTATCCGAGCCTGCTACATAGAAAATATGAGAGCCCTACACGTTTTGGTTATTGGAAAACATTATTTTGATAAATTTAACATAATTGACCCCAGGTCAAGGTCGTTCATATTAACAAACCTAATTTTCCACCACTTGAGTATGACTTGGACCATATATTATGACCTTAGGCCTTTCGGTTTTTCAGAAGAAGATTTTTGAAGTTTGTATCACAAAATCGCACTTTTGAAATTTGATCCCTACCGGGAACCGGAAGTTGTCGTTTATAGAAAAAAGTTTCGAAAGAAATGTTATAAATATCTAATTCTACATCACATATCCAAAGTTGAATTCAGTACATGGAACCGTTCATGAGATACTGATACTAAGCTAAAATCGGAAATGACGTCATGGCGGCCATTTTGTTTTTTCAACCTGGTTCAGAATTTCACCAATTACTATAATGAATATGGAAAAACTTTTCCCGACCAATTAAATAAGATATTTATGAAAGATTTTGGAATAATTCAAGTTCAAACTTTTTGTCGGCATTTCAAAAGATCAGACGAAATTTTCAAAACGGTAACGAAAAACGTTACGGAAAAAGTGAAGATATCAGCTTCATCAGATAATCATTCTGCATTGATTCAAATTTTTAAAAATGTGTGACCTTTGACCCAACAGCGAACTTTTTTATTCGACATATTTTCTGATAACATGTCAAGACAAAAATTTAGAAAGGGAAATTTTCTACAAATTATATAATTGCATAAACTCTCCACAATGAATGGTTTTTAAGTTACAGCAG